CCGGATTCTGGCCAGCGCCACTCCGGAGTGCCAGAGCCTCTTCTTTTCAGGACCCCGAAGCCCCTAGAACTCATTTGCGAACCGATAGCTCGAAGCCCCTACTGCCGACCCCTGACCCTCGCCCCGGAAGTTGGGGTGACTCGGAAGTTACGGCTTAGTCGCTAGGAAACTGGCCAGCCCGACGTGAGGGGCGGAGCTTCTGGCCTCTGCGTTGCAAGTGGCAGGTGAGGCAGGTGAGGCCTCAGAGGCGGGACCTCGCACCCCGTTCATTCAGGTGACCGCTTTACAGCACAGCACGCAGACTCTGGCTTCCTACTACACTCCCTGCAGGCCCATCCTCTCACATGAAACCGACGGCATAGGAACTCCACGGGCTTTCCCACCCATACGCCGACCACATAAAGGATCCTGCGCACACAACCCTGTACCCACGGGACTCCTCAGGCACAAGGAGACCTCGGGTAACCCATAAGCAGAACTCCCTCCGCCACACAGAATCCGCACACCAAGCTCATCTCATATAGAGGATCACGGCTTAACGTCCCAACAGTGGTACTGGCACCCACTGATCGTGCCTTCACGCACACCGGCTGAAGGCACAGGGGTTCCGTCTTCACGCATGTACATTAAAGAGTCTGCATCTCAGGATGCTGCAAGTACTAGACCCTCTGTAGACAGGGACCCTCATGCACGTATCAAGCCCCAGACATTATCCATACACCTAAACACATAGTTCCTCCTGGGTCCCTAGTCTGCCCAGTTTTCCCTCTAACCTACTTCCCTACTTAGGCTCTGTTCTGAACTCAGTCCTATGTCCAAGCCAACTCCCCACCTACCAGTTCTCCTGCCTCAGGTTCTCAATGTCTGCCACCTGCCTAAATACTTTCTGTAAGACAGCCTTCAGTCATTTTCTGGTCCTATTTTCAGGATAACATTTCATTAACTCCATTCCCAAATGTTCCTGTGGCACCAGCAGTGCAGGATCATAGGTGTATGAAGTCAGTGATTGCACTACCTGGGTTTCCTATTCATTGTGCCGTGTGAGGGGTACTAAGGCACTGGAAGACCCTAACACAGGCTGAAGTGGAAAGAAGACTCTTCCTAAGGGAATGAATTGTATACTAGGGGGAAGGGGCATTGCTCCCAGAACCAGACAGCAGAGTTTTCCAAGGCCAGGAGGAGAGGGGGTTTGAGGGTAGGGAAGGGTTGGGCTCAGCAGACCAGAGTTGACAGCAGTTGAAGGCATTTGTACATAGCCCAGCTGTTCAGCTGGTAGCCCAGTGATTTTGGTGACAGAATACAGATCTGTGGATTCCAGCAGAGTGGGCTGAGCCACGATGGTAGAGGACAGGCACACAAGCATTAAAGGAGAGAGACATCTTTTTACCAGGCATCCTTGCTCACGCTACTGGGCACATAGTCAGATAACCAGGGGCAGGCACTGGCTGGGAGTGTACTGGAGGTCCAGGGCCTGGACAGTATGTCCACTGCCTTGTCCTCTGCCCTCCTGAACATACCCTCCCTGGACTTTTCCTTCCCGCCCCCAGGAGAATGAGCAGTAAGAAGGGGGGGCCCAAAGCTGCACCAGGGAAGAGGCAGGCACCCCTCCCTGGGTCCAAGCTTCGAGCTGCTGCTGGTGAGTGCATCCTCTGACCTCCAGGGCACTGCCCCAACATTGACCTTGAGACCACTAAGAACATAGGGGTCCTCTGAGAAACCCTTCTCTCCCAAGTAGTCTTCAAGGGCTCTTCATTTGTACTTGGGCATGGTAGATTTGATGGTTTAAAGCTCAGACATCTTCTGTAGCCTGGACCTCTAGAGCTGGGGTGGGGAGTGGGCACAGGACTCAGAAAGGCACAGTGTTAGAGCCCCTGGAGGTAAGAAAGGGGCCAGGAGGAGATCGGAGGGGCAGATGACTAAAAACAATATTGAAGCTGGCCAGTGGTGGCACATGCCTTTAATCCTAGCACATGGAAAGCAGAGGCAGGGGGATCTCTGAGTTTGAGGCCAGCCTGGTTTGTAGAGTGAGTTCCAGGGCAGCCAAGGTAACACAGAGGAACTCTGTCTCTTGAAAACAGCAACAATATTGAAAAAGAGAAGGGCTTGAATCCAAGTTGGGAATCTTCGTAAGTGGTTGTCCACTCACTGTTCATCAAACCCGCCTCACACTTTCCCCTTCAGATCACCTCTCCGTAGCACTTCCCGGCTGAAAGGTTACAACTAGATTGGGCTAGCTTCTGTAGATCATGAGAAAGTGGACTCTCCTGTTCCCTGTGCCTGCCCCCCCCACCCCCGTAGCCTTTATCACCCCTTCACTCAACTTACAATTCATTGTGCTACAGATGTGAACATCTTCCAGGCTATCTCTTGGGCTCTGCACCCAAACCTGCCTGTAGTTTGTGCCTGCTGCGAGGGTACCCACCCAGACCTAGATGCAGCCCTGCATCTGAGCCCAGGCAGTGCCAGATTCCCTGGAGCTGGCAGCCGATGGTGACTCCACACCACGCTGGGGTGAAGTCCTAGTTGCCCAAATTAGCCCCAGCTGCGTCTGAGGCCAGTCTTCCTCCTGGAATGAGGATAATGGGTACCAGCACTGCGTGCTGCCTCTGTGATCTCAAGCCCCGAGCACCAAGCTGCAGTAAATAGTGGGCAGGGCAGGTGGACTGGACAAGAAGCTGTCCAGGATACTTGGAGAGGGGACTGTTCCTCAGTTTTGTTGTCTGTCAACTGTGCACTCAGCTCTCACCCCACACCTTACTATGCATGCTTTCCTGGACAGCTCCTGTAGCTACTCGTCCTGGTCCCCTGACACCACCATCCCCAAACAAGCTCCCTCCCCCCACCTCCCTCAATGGCCTCTGCCTGCCAAGCACTGTGTGGTCTGGGCAGAATTGCTGTCCTTCATCCGGGCAACATTCTGTGTAGTGGGCACAAGCCCCTCCAGGCATACAGGCCCACAGAGGTTCTGTAGCCAACTTGGCCTCCCAGCCCTCACGCATCTATAAGATACTTGAGTGTCTGTTGTACCATCAGACTGCCCAAGCCCCTACCCATAGCCCTCTAGGCCTTACCTGGCCTTGGGTTTGCAGTGCCTCGAGGCCCTCACTCCGGAGCTGCTCCAGGGCCACAGCCAGCTGCAGCCCCTCCATGTGCACCCAGGCCTGCTCCTCCTGCAGCTGCTGCAGCCACAGCTGCTCCTCCTGCAGCTGCTGCAGCCACAGCTGCTCCTCCTGCCAGAGCTGCATCTGCAGCTGGACCTGCCGCCTCCGATCCTCAAGCAGCAGTTGCTCCTGGGCTAGGCACAGCTGGACTTCGTGGAGTCTCAGCAGTTCAGGGCCCAGGGCTGGCATGGGGGCCCTGGCTCCACAGCCCTCCATGTGCTCAGGAGCCAGCACTAGCTCGGATTCCACAGTGGTGGCCTGAACTGGCCTCCAGGATGCTTGTAGCTGCTCTGGCCTGGTGGCCCTAGAGTGTCCCTGAGGAGCCGGCTGAGTGCTGGTCACGTGGCCCGTGAGGGCCACCCCCAACTGATCCTGAGGGCCCCCTGTATTGGGGGGCGGAGGCTCAGCCTCAGGGCACTTCTGCCCAGCTGCCCGCTGGGCCCTGCCCACCCTCTTGCCTCGGGGCTTCCGAGCTCGACCTCGTTTCCCAGACATGGCCCAGGATCCAGTGGTCTTTCACCAGATGTCTGCTCCCCAGGGAACCGTCTCATCCACTGGCCTTGCTGGGGAGCTCAGAGGGCATCCCAGAGGCTGCAGTAGGCTGCTTGCTCTCAGCCAGGCTCAGCCCTCTGTTCCTCTGTCCCAAGTGGCTGCTCTACCCCTTGCCCTGTTGCCCACAGCACAGCACAGGACCCTGGCTCTGTCTATAGGTCCCACAGGCCGCACTCTGTGGCGCTGGGCCACACCAGGGAGTTTATAGGGACTTTGGCGGCACAGTGGCTCACCCTAACCGAGGAGGCTGACTAACGTGCTGACACAGGGTGCGGGACTTCACAGACCACAGACTTCACTGGCCAGACTGGGAGGGAGGCTAAGAAACTGGGGGCGGCTCTCTGTAGCTAGGCAGTTGCTTGAGGACGTGCCTGGTCCTGCCTGGACTCACCAAGGCCCCCCACCCTTCACCCCACCCTCGGTCGCGGGAAACTCAAACTGTCCGCAGAGCTAAGAGCTACATCTCAAATGCACCAGCCCTGAATGCTCAGACCCTCACTGACCATAGACCATCCCAAACCAACTGACCACTGGAACTCGAAGCCTATGCAGATGCGCCCTGCTGGGCTTGAGCTTGCCTGGGGAGCTTGCTAGAGATAATGGCTACCTTAGCCCCAGTGGGAAGCACTTGGGCCACACTGTGGCCTGGTAAAGACATTGAGCCTTCAAAAGCCTAGAAAGAAAAGTCTAGCTTGTCTCCTAGTATGGGTGTGGGGCCTGCCTACTGCCATGATTGGGAATCCAGCTCCCCCTTTGAATTAAAACAAGGCCCAAGGGACCCTTCCAAGGCCCACCTGTTAGTCCCAGGGGTGCAGCTGGGGGTCCAGGACCAACTCTCATCTGAGCCTTCCTTCCCAGGCCTCCTGTTTCGAGGCGTCGCTCCAGGTGACATCCTCCCCAGTGGTTCCCCAGCCCCAGCCCGCTGACTCACACCCACGCCCAGGGCCTCATCCCAGCCAGCTCTGCTTCACTGGTCAGACTGGTTTGCCTGGCCCAGCCCTGCCCAGCACACACCCCTATCCATCCTGCCCTTGCCCAGGAACCTCAAGAGCAGACAGAGAGCACCAGTCTGGAGCAGAGCTGGGCAGAGCAGAGCTTTGCTGAAGGGCGTGGAGAATGGCAGAAGCATTGTTTGGGTGGGAGACAGCAGTCGGGACAATGAGGGGCACACTTTTTAGGGACTTCCATATGCCCAGACCTGGAGTTTCATTTCCAGGTATAGGGGTAGGTGTGTCTGTTGGTTCTTAGTATTACTAGGCTAAGATGTATTTGCTCTTGGAAGACGCTGCTCATTAAAGTTGTGGCATGTGCTGGCCTCATGAGGCCTTCCCTAAGAGCCTAGGAATAAGCCTAGCTGGTGTCCCATAAATGCCACCTGAAGTTGATGGGGCGAGGGCCAACTCACATCCCAACACTTCTGCTACCTTCCTTCAGGGAAGCCGAAAGATCACCAGCTGCAGACGAAGACAGGCCAGCCGGCCAAAGAGTCCTACTCTGAGAACCCCGAGGTTCCTGCAGGTGAGATCCTGGGTCTTCTACCTCTGCTAAGGGGTGGGCTGGCAGTAAGGGACTTCCCTGGGCCCAGACAAGCATAGCATGCACAAGTGTTTGTCTATATATGCACACGTGTATGCATGAATGTGCAGGGGAATGTATGCATTCATGGATGCATGTGTGTACACATATAGTCTATGAAGTAGGCCAGAAGCACACAGAAGCCCCCTTTCTATACTGTGCTAGCCCATGGCTCAGGGCTGCCTCCCAAAGGAGCATGAGTCTCCTGTGATGAGCTGGTCGCCCTCTGGCGGCAGTAAAATGAAAAATGATCCAGCCATGGGCAGCACTTGGGGAGTCCCACCACGAGTCTGGAGTCCTGTGCCTGCTTCCTGGGCTCCAGTGCCTATGGACAGGACCAGATCTGTCCAGCCTGCTTGCCTCCTGGCTCTGGCCTCAGCTCTAAACGGTATTCCCAAAGTTCCCAACCTAACAATTAGGTTAAGAGTTCACTGCCAGCGCCTCAGCCCCACTACAGGTATCCTCCAACTTCCCCTTTGGGTGTCTTGAAGCCAGCACATCCAGCCTAAGTTTCTCTAAGCTCACTCCAGTGTCCCTACATACACAATGCTCCCCAGTGGCTGATGTCTGAACCCCTCGCAGCCAACCCCATTGTTCAATACTTTCCCTGACCAGTTTCTAGGTCTCACAGAGCCTCAGATGCTTGCTCTCTTCTGGCCACTGCCTTGCCTTGCCCTTTGCCTCTACCTCCCAAAGTTCTCAGAGCAGCCATAAGGTGTGCAATACTGGGAGATGCAGCACCTGTGTTGCTTGTGAACAGCCCTGTCACTCCTGTCAACCTTTTCCATTCCCATTCTTGGGTCCTGGGATAAGGACGAGCCTTGTCCTGAGGACAGGATGCACATGAGGTCTGTGGGTTGTTGTAGCATAGTTTCATATGCCTGACACATTGGCATGGGTTCTGTATAGCTCAAACAGTTCTGAGACTCGAGCAGAGACAGATGTGTAGGGACACAGTCCCCGGAAGACACTCAGACCATACAGGAAGCCACACAGGAGGAATCGGCATCCTCCAGAGGGACCAGTGCCGTTTCTCATACTGCAGCACCACTCCTGTTGCCTCTCGCTGTCGCATGTCGTGGGAAGATCTTCAGGGATTGGGCAGAGCAGTCGCAGGAGCATTGCTGCTGGGTGCCAGATGCAGGAGGCAGGAGCATTACTTCTGGGTGCCAGACACAGGAGCATTACTGCTGGGTGCTAGCAGTACACATGCAGCTTTCTAGAAAGACCTTTCAGTTTGGCCAGGGATTCTGTATCCATGTTCAAAAGAGGTGCTGATCTGGCAATTCTTATGGTATCTTCCTGCTTTAGTATTAGGGAACTCTGGCCTCATAATTTCTTCTTCAGATCTACTTAATTTGCATATTTTATGTGCACCATGTGCATGCAGGTGGCTGCTGAGGCCAGAAGGCATTGGGTCCCCTGGAGCTGAAACTACAATATTTTAAGGCACCTGATGTGGGTGCTAAGGCCACAGCTCTGGGTCCTCTGGAAGAGCAGTAATAGCTCTTAACTGTGGCCCCTTATCTTTTAAGAATTTATCTTTGTTATTTAGAATTATATGCATGTGGGGGTGGCGTGTGCATGTAAAAGTGTGGTGCCCAACAGAGGCTGGAGGTCGCAATGAACTCCTCCAAACCCAAGTCCTCTGGAAGACCAGCAGGTGCTTTTAACTACTGAACTACCTCTCCAGACCCTGCTGGGAGAGAGAATTATCCTGACTTACACCCACTCCCTTATAGTAATTTTTATTTTTGTAGAATCAGGAGTATGATCCCCTTTCATTGTTCCTATTAAAAAGGTTTGTTTTTATTTTTAGTTATGGGAATGAACCTCCTTGTTTATGTGTATGCATTACATTGCACATGAAGGTCCCTCAGAGGCCAGGAGAGAGTGATGGGCCCCCTGGAGCTGAAATTATAGGCAGTTGTGAGAGGCCTGATGTGGGTTCTGGGAACCGAATCCAGGTCTCTGGCAAGCAGCAAGTGCTCTCTCCAGCCACACCCCACTTTCATTTCTTATCTTACTATTTGCATCTTTTCTTTTTCTTTGTGTATATAGTTAAAGGTTTATTAATTTTGTTGATTTTTTTTTTGAGACAGGATCTCACTACGTAGCACTGGCTGACTTGGAACTCAGGCTGGTCTTGAACTCTGTCATCTGCTTGTCTGCTTCCTAAGTACTAAGGTTAAAAGCATGCACTGCCACACACAGCTTGCTGATATTTTCAAAATACCAACTTTGGCCTCACTGGTTTTTATTTTTTCCATTTTGCTTCTATCTAATCTTGATTTTCCTCCCTTCTGCTGTCTTTGAGTTTAGTTTAGTTTTCCTTTTCTTGTTCTCTAAGTGGTGGGCTGCTGGTTTGAGACCTATCTTATTTAATAATGTAATATTAAATGGCTAATTCCCTTTGGCACTGCTTTTGCTGCACCTGGTAGATTTTGGCGTGCTGTGTTTTCACCTATTGCTAAACATTTTCTAATATCCGATGTGGTCTTGTCTCTGATACCTTGTTTAAGAAGGCATAGCTTGCTGGGCAGTGGTGGTGTGGTGCACACCTTTAATCCCAGCACTCAGCTTTGAGTTTGAGGCCAGCCAGATCTACAGAGTGAGTTCCAGGAAAGCCAGGGCTTCACAGAGAAACCCTATATTGAAAAACCAAAACCAAAACCAAGAAAAGGAAAAAACAAAAAGGCACTGCTACTGTCACATCCTGCTCATTTTTCATTTTTATTCTACTCTGTCATTGGCCTCTACTTCATGGCACTGCCGTCAGGGCAGATACTTTGCATCATGTCTGCCTCTGAGAACAAGCGGTGCTCAGTGGCAGAGCACATGTTCTTCTAGGAGTCACTAAGATCCCTTCTGTGGCCTGCCCCATGTTCCAAGGTAATGCCCCCATGCACTTGGGCATCCTGTGTATGTGGGTGGTGCGTAGCACTGCATTGGGACCCCTGCTTTCTTATGTTAGGAACTCCATTTCTCTTCTTACTTCCAGTTACTGTTGCCAAGTTTCTTCCTTGACTCTGATATTTTTCTCTGAACATTAATGGTTCATCATTGCATGCATGCATACTTAGAACTGGCATGTATTAAATCTTTTGATTATATAGTGTTCTATTTTTCCTCTTTCAATCCTTTTTATATTTTTATTAGCATATATTATCTGTAGATGGTTATATAGTGATTGGACATTTTGGCATTTTCCTATAGATATATAATGTATTTTGATCATATCCACCCTTATTACTCTCTCTTGTCCCCCTCTCGCCTCCACTAACCCCCATCTTCTTCCCAATCAGCCCCCCTTCTACTTTCATATTGTGTGTGTGCATGTGTATGTCTGCATGTGTGTGTGCACGAGTATGAGTGTGTGTGTGTGTGTGTGTGTGTGTGTGTGTTAGAGAGAGGGAGAAAGATAAAGAGGCCATTTCACTAGGGCTGCTTATAGGAATGCGAGTGAGGGACTATATACAGGCGCACAGGCACCTTACCAGGGCTGCACCAGTAAATAAAATGTCTCTCCTTCCCCCAGCAAGCATGAACTGACCATAGGTCTCAGAGTGAGGCACCGTATGTCCCCTCCCTACACCGAAGGATGTTGATGGGCCCGATCTTGAGCAGGTCTTGTGTAGGCAATCACTGCTTTCAGTTAAGATTATAATATCCTAGCCTGACATTGGTGGTGTACAGCTTTCATTCCAGCACTCAGGAGGCAGAGGCTGGTAGATCTCTGATTTGAAGGCCAGCCTGGTCTACAGGGTGAGTGCCAGGACAGCCAAGGCTACACAGAGAAACCCTGTCTTAAGAAACAAACAAACAAACAAGATTATAATATGGATGTCCTGCCTGGAAGACATTGTCATACAACATTCTACAGTCTCCCCCTTTCACTGATGACGCTGTTTCTTCCATCTCTTCTGCAGTGTCCCCCAAGCCTTGCAGAGGATAAGATAGATGTCCTGTTTATGACTGAGCATTCACTCAGCACTTTGACCAATTATGAGTCTCTGATTACTGCTGCCCACTACAAAACAACAACAAAAACCTTTCTAACTGAAGCTGACAGCAGCACTCACCTATGCGTAAACACAATTAGTCACATCACACCCATTTACCAAAACAACAGCAGTAGCTTCCCTGCTAGGGTCCATGACCTCACCAGCCATGGCTTTTGGCCAGGTTTACAATACCAGATGTGAGCTCCTTCCTGTGGAGCAGGCCTCAAATCCAACCAGAAAGCAGTTGGTTACTCCACAACAGACTTGCCGCTATTGCACCAGTGAACACATCTTTCCTGGACAGTCAGCCATGTCACAGTTAGTGTCCACAGCCGTGTGAGACTATTGGTGACAATCCTCCTCAGCAGCCTGCACAGCACCTTCCAGCACTAAGAAGGCAAGCCAGCGGGGAGGGAGCTTCCAGTCCAGCTCCAGCTTGATTTATCTGTGTCCTGTGACCACAATATATGGTATCTTCAGCAACAGGTTTTTAATTTTCTCTTACTTTATTAACCTGTTTGTATGTGGGTGTATGCATGCCACAGCCCACATATGGAAGTTAGAGGACAACTTGTAGAAGTTAATTCTCTCCTGCTATTTGGGTTCTCAGGATCGAAATCAGATTGTCAGTCAAGCCCCGCTATCACTGGCCACATAAGAGTTTTTTTTGTTTGTTTGTTTTGTTTTTTTTTTTTTGGCGGGGAGGAGGCATGGTTTCTCAGTGTAGTCCTGACTGTTCTGGAGCTCACTCTGTAGACCAGGCTGGCCTTGAACTCACAGAGATGCACCTGCCTCTTGAGTGCTGGGATTAAAGGTGTGTACCACCACTACCTGGTGGCTATATTTTTTTAAATTTAAAGTTTGTTTCATCTGCTAATAACATAGGCCATTATGATTTCTGTTTAGTGTGTGTGTGCATGTAGGTAAGCTCATTTTCCA